GAATACGCGGAGTTATCGTACGAGGACAATCTATCGAATATTTTCAAGGTTAACGTCGGAACGAAAAAAATATTTTTCAGATATTTCACGCGATTTTGCAACGCACGTTCTCCGAACGGCGTCCCCGTGCGCCTTTCGCAGCGAAGGGGTTGCCGATGCCCCCCCGGGACTCCCGTAAGCGTGACAAATGCCCTGGACCTTCGAGACACGTCCGACGAGACGCCCTCGCAGAGGCGTCGGCCTCGCGTGGCTATTTCTCCTCGACGTCGCACGAAGATTCGACGGCGAGCGCCGTGCGCCGTCACTGCGTGTCGCAAGACGCTCTTCGCCGAAAACTAGGAGGAAAGAAAGAAAACGAGATAAAGAGAAAGAGGGAAAAAAAACGAAATCTCTCCTATCAGTCCTCAAGAGCCGCCCGTCGCGGTCTCTCGACGGCGCGCGAGCCGGCACGATATAATTTAATGTATCTAATGATTCGCGGAGAGAGTGAGTGGCAGGAACGTGAGCGCCGCACCAAGGTCGTCGTATTTTTAGTTAGGCCAATGTTTAGTTGGCCACGTTCGTTCTCGTCGGAGATAGAGGGACCTTGAATTTCGCGGATAACATCTGCAGCCTTATCGACGCGGTCCCCGAGCCTCCTCCCCGCCCCCCCTCCTCTCTCCCCCTCCCCCCTCCCCCCGACCCCGCTGCGCGTTCCCTGGCGATAAACTTTTTCAGTACTAACCTAGTATAAGCCAGCCGTTCAAATATTAATCGACAATGCGAGGCCGCACCTGAATTTGCACAACCGACCGATCGACCGACCGGCCGACCGACCGATCCGGCTGATTGTCGCGCATTTGTCAAAGTTTTCTGCCCCCCCCCCCTTCGCCGCCCTCCTCCCTCCCCAAGGATACTAGCGAAAAAGATATGTGCGCAATCGAAAAAATGCGTCAGCCAGCCTGTCACGGCCTCCGTCGCGGCCGATGACGACTGCCGTCAACTCGGGGCGAACATTCTCGCCAGCTGAGACTCGGCCGAAGCCGCGAAAACGCACACGCACACGGGCTCGCGCGCGCACGCACGTTCGTACGGTCGGACGTGTCTCTTTTTCTTCTCCCCGCGAACGGCTCCTCGGCGCGAGCGAGCGCCCAATACGGCGCCGGCTGCCGAAATCCGCTTGTGGAAGGTCACGCACACCCAAGTACGCCATTCTTCGCTCCCGTAATTATTCGCCATTATCGTTAGCGGGGAGGGCGACTCCCCGTATCACCTTAAGCGATGTAATCGCGCCATTACGTCGACGTGAGAAGGCCCCGCGTCTCTCTCGGTCGTCACGTCGCCGGTGCGACGACTCCTCTCGACGCGACGTCGCCCGGACATCGGCGTTATTCTCGATTTCACGTCCAAGTGGTTGAAACACCCGCGGTAACTCGGGTCGACACGCCGCAAACTCGGCGTTCTCCGCTTTTCCTTTCGTGTCGGATAACAGATAGTTTCATTCTTATTTTCCTCATTCGTGTCATAGACAATCTCATTCCTACTTTCGTTTAAGAGTGCAGAAGTAAGGGGGAGGGGGGGAGATGAAAACGAGATCAGACCTATCACATCCTCTTTCGACGACGATACACGCGAGGGATCAGCGAGAACTCCGAAGGGCCGGAGTTGCGGGACACAATTTCCCTATCGACCAGTCGCATTATATATTGTATTCCTATTTTCTTTTTCATTTTCCTTCACTCTGCGTGCCTACGCGTGCAACGCGCGTCGCGGCGCGCCGTGTCGGCGATATCACGCCGCGGATATTGATTCTGTTGCGAAACGTTAACGCGCGGCGCGGCGTTAACGACACGCAACCGATACGCAGCCCGACCCGTTCGATCGAGCGACACAAGCACGTCAACGATCGATTATCGGGAAAATCGGCGCAACACTTAAGGCCGCATCAGACTAGCAATTGTCGACGCGGACTGGGTTGGGATTGGCGGTTGGCGATGGTCCTCTGGCCAATGGGAGTCGATTAAATCGCTGACTGCTCCGCTCTCATTGGCTGGAGAACAATCGTCAGTCGTCAATCCCAATCCAATCCGAGTTGGCAATTGCTAGTCTGATTCGGCCTTTACGTCAACGACGCCCGATGAGCGTAGTACAACCATAGACGTATGATATGTAGACTGCGCGTTTGGCTGAAGCAGTGTACAAACTTTAGAAAGAGACAACATACTTTGAGTGGCCGCCCTCTCTCACGTCTCTGTCGCTATCTATCATTCCTCTTCTGTTTCCCCTGTACTAGACAAAGACGAGGCGACAACTCAACATCAGCTATCTCGTTCTAAATTTTGTACACGTTTTCAACACGGGAGAGGTAGGGAACGGTCTACTCTCACTATGTCTATGAGTACAACTAGCAGGTCCACTCTCTGTCGGTCCCTCTGATCTTTACGGTCCCGATCACGTGGTATTCCGCCATGTCTTTGGTCCAAACCCAACGGCGTACGTATGTGTACGTACTACAGTTCCCAGTGAGAAATGATTCGTGGATCGACGTCGAAACGACGTCGAATCGACATCGACACCGTCGAATTGACGTCGATTCGACATCATTTCAACGTCGATCGACGAGTCATTTCTCACTGGGTTGTATGTCTGGTGGTGTATCAAAGCCGCACTACCACACATACAACTTTTCTCTCATTGGCTGGACCAACGAAATGTCGGATGTGCAGAAGGGATCGAGGCGAAATGAAACAAACGACGGGGTGGACCCGCCAGTTATCTATGCGTCGGGCGCGCTGTCGTCCGATCGGGAGGAACCGGCGGATGCGACACGCATACACAGGCGCCCGGGGGTGCGTCGTTAGCCCCCTTTTCCTTCGGGTCCCGTCGGGTGTCGCGAGGTGCGCCGGGGTCAACGATTTCGCGGCGCGAGTGTTGCACAGCGATGCCGAACTCCGGTGCACGCTCCACTCCATTTCTCTTTGCGCCAATTGCGCGTTCGTACGTCGCCGATATTAATAACGGCGGTTCGAGCGAATGTATCTGCTGGCGGCTAGCGTGAATTTTTTTTCGCGCGAGTCGATAAAATTGTCGCCGGCCAAAGGCGTCGCTCTGCCCACGTAACTACGCTCTCTGTTGAACCGTCTCGGTCGCGGAGACGAATATATCGTATACGGTTACACGAGGCGGAGTGTGTAACTCCTTCTTGGGGGTGAATTGTTTAACCTGTAGAGGGCCAACAATTTTTCCATTGAAATTTGCAACTTTTTAAACAGAAAATTTATGCATACACGTAATCTACATGTTCCGCACAGTTTTCAAGTTTGCTCCTGGCCACTACCCTCCGGCCCTTTAAAGGTTAATCCTTTCAAATAACACCAACACGAATCATTTTTAGACAACTCGCCTCGCCCAATTTGAGAAACATTGCGGAACACCTTTTTGTGGAAAGTTTCGGCGTGTCTAGAAATGCTATGTGTCGCGCGCTGAGAAAAACGAATTGAAATATTCGAAAATATGCTACGTATTTTTTTTTTCAAGTTTACCCTTTTGCGGGAACGCCCTTCGACCGTTAGGGTCATGTCGGCGCGATATTTCTAATAACTCCTCGAAATCCGTGCTTAATCTCGATTAAACGGTGAATCCAACACTAGGCGCCTGAGCTCCTTGAAGCGCTGAATTTTTGAAATTTCTCCCAACGGGGAAAATATATTCTATGTATAGAGACAGCAACGTGAAATCGCCGGTGCGGCATATCGATGATAACAATATAGCCGACACATTCTTGATATAAGTGCCCTGTCCCATTTAAATCGACATACCTTTTGGCTCTCTACGTCACAAATATTCCGCGTGGAACGATCGGAATAATACATTCTGAAACTTTTGCATACCTTCCCCGCGACACCTTACACCCGTATTCGATTTCAAGCGCAAATAGATAAATAGATGTCGAAATTATGTACGCCTGCGTTTGTGTAAAAATGTATAAAACGACGTGCGAAAATTTGAAAGTAAAATAATTTTTGTTTCTCCAATGTAATATGCGCGAAGCGCGAACACGCGACGCTTGGAACGTGGCGTGCACGTAACTTTTCCGATACATAAATGTAACGCGATAGAGCGCGTTCGGGAAACGTGCCGCGCGCGGGACTCGTCTCCTATGCGGAATCGCAGATAAACCGCGATAATGAATTCGATCGTGTATCTAAGCGTAGCGCAGTGACGCGTTCGGCGCGCCCTGGTTCGCAGTCTTGCTTCAAGTAAGCTGCAAGCCTTAAGCCGTGAGAAATCAACCAATAACAGACATTTATTCCCCTCGCTCTCACCTGTGATCGGTTGATTTCTTACGGCTTACCATTAGAGCAAGATTGTGGGACCAGGGGTGAACGAGCGTGAGTTACGGTCGGCGAGCGCTGCCTGTGCGCTCCGGGCTCGGCTCGCAAGATTACGGTTACCGAGCTCGGGTCCGCGATCCCCGAGAAGCCCGCGGAGCCGCGCAGCTCCGCGGCAGCACGATGATTTTCATGAAATGCGATATGTAGATGCGATATCGTATAATGGTGCCGTATAGTAATGATGATAACGATGATTTTGGAACGCATGCCAATTAGAAGAGATTTAATAATCTTCCAAGCAGATAGTAGTGCTCTTTCACCGCAACCAGTAAACACTTTCATTCTCGTAATTTGTGATTGGTTGGTTAGTTTGATATAACTGCACAAGTCCTTAGTTACTTTTGTTGTAATTAGAGCGAACCGCTACATCGCGCGCGCGATCGAGGTTCGCCGCCGCGATGTATCGACTGTCAGTGGAAGAATAATAAAAGTAGCGCAGTAGTGCCCTTAAAAAAATCAAAAGAACGCACATCGAACGCACGGTTTCTACGGCCGCGTGATAACGAGTGCCACATATATATATGTATAGCGGGAGCGTGATATATGTATATAGATTATCTCGACTTGTCAAGCAATTCTAATGATTTCAAAAGGGCAAAGAGCTAAGAGAGATTCAAAGTCCCTTACCTTGCGAGGTGCCCGCTAGATCCGGTGTCTGCAAGCCGTGGCCCAGCCCTGGAAATTTCACTATCGTCACACGTAGCAACGGCAATGCCATCGCGCACGGAAACTCAACAACGGCCTGTACGCAATTTCGCAATTAAAGAGAGGCAAAGAGGAGAGAATAAAGCGGGGACGTCTTTCTCGAAATGCAAAATAAAGTTTAGGTGCATCAGCCTACGCTCGCGACCGACTTCCAGTTCGCGACGAGCGTGTGCACGCGACGCGATATCAGACGACGATCGATCGATCGCGTACGCTCAACCCTTAAGTGCAGGAAATTAAAACGTGCATACGTAACTAAATTGATTGAAGAAAAAGAAATTTAGATTTATCCGTCCTTTGCTCGGTCTCGGATGAAAACGGAAGAGAAAGTCCAGGAGCAACGTCGAGCGACGAGTCGCGCACTTAAGGGTGAAAAGGGGGGGGGGCGCGAATTGGTCTGTGCGTACAGGCCCGCCACGTGGTCCGGCGCTCCGCGACGTACCTGACAACGGCGTGTGATCGGTGGTGAGCGCCGCCATGCTGAAGTTGAAGCTGCCGGGCGTCGACGTGAAGAGCTTGCTCTCCGGCAGGAAGTTCTGCGCGGACGTGTGCTCCGGCTCCGGCTCGTGCTCGTTGCTGCTCGCGGACGCGGGCGGCCGGTCCGACGCCGCGGCGCCGGAGTCCGACGAGTCCTCGTTGTTGCCGGCGTTGCCGCCGCCGTTGCCGCCGGTCAGCTCCAACGGCTCGCACTTGATATTGCCCTCGACGAGGCTGTTCTCGTCGTGCACCCCGTTGCCCTCCACCTTCGTCGACAGGTGGTTGTTCTTCACCATCGAGAAGTCCGTGGGCGTGGCGTCGTTGTTGTTGAGCGGCGGCGACGGCACCCGCGGTCTCTTCACCGACTCGTCGTGCGGGTCCGGGGTGCGTCTCTCGTTCCGGCGTATCTGGGCACGGCGCAGTAGCTGCTGCACCGTGGTCGGCGTAGGGGTCACGGGCGTGGGCGAGCCGCCGCGAGGGAAGGTCTCCTCCGACTTGTCGTGGAACGGCAGGTGATTGCCGCCGGCCGCCAACGCGCGGACATGCGACAGCTGGAAGCAAAACCGGCAGTGGCAGTATTAATTATACAGACTACGGCAGGAACGCGTACGCGCGCACGCACGTACTCACGTACTCACGCAAGCACGCACGCACGCACGCGCGCGCGCACGCGGCTCGGCCGTAATTATCGGGACCGTCGCGGTACCCGCGAGCCGGAGATTTGTCGTTTAACCGATCGATAAATCGCCCCGCCGAAACCGATAGCTCGCCTCGGCGAGCCAATTCAAGAGTCCCGCGACGTCGCGACGCCGCGCATCGATACCCGATACTCTTTCACGTTCGCCGGTTCGAATACCGATTTCCGATTTATCGAGCGAGTCCGCTTTATCTCCGCTCGCTTGACCTATGACAATTGCGAATTGGAATCAAGATAGACTCGCGCCGAGATAACGGCACCCGCCCCCCCCCCTCCCCCGAGAGGACGCCAAAGTTGCGTCTATTGGCGATAACGCGAAGGAATTACGACTCACGCGCGCGTCTCTCTCGCGGCCAGAACGTGCGCTTTTACTCCTCTCGAACCCCGTAAGTGCGCCCGATCTCGTACGCGACGCGGAGACGCGGTCGAGAAACGGAGCTGGAAACCTACGGCAGCCGCCGTAGCGTCAAAGTCCGCGGGGCTCAACGGAGCCACCCCACCGCTTTCGTCCCCCTTTCCCCCCCGATAATCGCGGCCGGGAAACGTACCTCATCTCTGTCGGTCTGGTCGGCCTGCTGCGTGAGGCCCGATACCCTGAGGACCTCCGCCGTCTTCAGAAAACTACTGAGAGAACGCTGATGTACGTTCACCTCGCCGTGATAAATGAACTCCACTAAGGCATGCAAGTCGCTGAACGCTACATCCTGGAGCACTATCACTGGGTGCTTGCACGGCGTGCTCTGAAACGGTGCGACGTTTATTGCGCATAATCATTAGCGCGGTGGCGAGTCGAATTCTTGGCCTCTCGGTGTGGCACAAGTCGCACTCCCCGCTCACTGCCGCCGTGAGCGCGGTCCTCCGCTCCGTCTCGACCGGTGAATCACGAGCACGTGAAACCGGAAGATCCGAGGCGGAAGGCGCGCCGGCGACGGGGCGCGGGAGGGAGGCGAGGCTCTTACCTTGAGCAATTCTCTGAAGTACGGACTACAGGCGGAGAGAACGACGCGATGCGCCTTGAGGCTCTTGCCGTCGCAGGCCAGCGTCACGTCCACGAAGTCCTCATCGTCCCGCAGGTTCTCAAACGCCGAGGTTATGCTGCTCTGGTAATTGTTCCATCGCAGACAAAAATGTTGTGTATCTACCATCGTTGTGTCTATTCACCTGCAATTAGAAGGAACACGCCTGTTGCTGATTGGGACCAACTTGGGGCCGCGGAAGCTCTCGCTTGGACAGAGAAAGAGAGAGACAGAGAGATAGAGAGAGAGGGGGGTGGGGGATCTAAACGCGACGCCTCCCGGATGCGAGAACGCGCCGGCACGCGCGAGGCCGAATCGGCTTCGCCGCTCCAACTGACGCTAATTGGATACGCGCGCGCGCGTAATTAAAAACTTTCGGCTACGACGCCGTCCTAGGGCACGACGCGCGCTGATAAGCTTGCAAACTGATAATGTTAGATAAGTCCAATTTCGACATACGAAAACACAATTGCAACGTGTACACACACTCGATACCCGATATCAAATCGCAATTGCATGTACACCGCGATATTCCCGATAAATCGGTGGATTGTAAAAAAAAAAAAAGAGCGAGCGAGAGAAAGCGAGCCGACAGAAGAAAATAACACACGGCGATTAGATGCGCGAGAATTTTATTCTTGTCCTCGTGCGATGGATATTTCATTGGGCCGCGATTAATCCGCCCGATTCAATCCGCGCCGCGCTTGTTACGGAGGAAATTTGATGCCGGCGATATTAAATTTTTCCGCGTGGCTTAAATTATTAGCGGCGAAAAGTAATCCGCCGGCGATCGATCGGCTCGTAAATTCGCCGCGGATAGTTCCGCGGCTTCTTGTAGCGAGGCTCAAGTCTCGAGTCTCACGATCTCGAGAGGCAAAAGGGAAGAGGTGCAGGAAGATCGACTGCGTGGAAACGCAAACGCGGCAAAACGAGCGCACGAGGTGCGGATCGAAGAGACGTTTCTTCCTCCGCTCCGCTCCGCTCCGAAATACTCGGTCCGCGATGAGCCGAAAACTATGTCTCGCGAAAGACCGCCCGCTGGCCGGCGGCGCGTGGTGACATAACGAATTGGAAATTCTGCCGAAGGAATGGAGGAATTGCGGTGTAGATAAACGTACCGCGGCGCGGCAAGGAGCGACGCGCGTTTATTTGTCCAATTGCGCGGAGTGGAGCGGTGCGACGGCGAGGGGGGGCGGGAATAAAATCTAAGAAGCGCGCCGTGCGCGCGATTCGCCATACGGGAAAATTAGGTCGTCAAGTCGGAGCCAATTCAGTGCGTTGATTAAATAATTCTCCGCTACTTATAAAAGCGGGAGCGCTAAATGTGCGCTGATAGTGTTATCTTAGCGCAATGATAAAAAAAAGAGGAAAGATCTTAAAACAAATTTGCAGAGCGCTCGCTGCTCTCACGCGCGCGCGCGCGCGCGCGAGCGTCCGCTCGGAAAGGCGCGTTTAACGGGCGAGACGCGGAGGACCGTTTCCGCGGACTGTCGCGCGCGAGGGTGATATTAGCGGAATTGGAAACGCGTCGCCACCGCGCATTTTGACGCGTCACCGAATAACAAAATCTGCATAACGAATCCCCGTTTATACCATCGAATATCGCGCATCGATAACGCGAGCACCGCGAATTTCAATTGTTTCCGGCCTCGCGTTTTTCCCGTTGCACAGTAACAAAAAAAACAAAGCAAAAAAAAAGGAAAGTGACAAAATAACAATGAAACGGCGGCGACGCGGGAGGAAAGTCTCGGCGGGCGGGAAACGCTCTCGTATCTCCATCCCTTTAACCCGAGCGTAGAAACCGAGCGTAGAAACCAAGCCGCTCTCGCCGAGAGTCGCTGTAGGGTCGCGCTATCGCGTTCTGCTAAATTTGCGTGTGACGAATCCGCGAGATAACTTGGCCACCGAACATTGTTTGATAACAGACGAGAGAGGGGAAAGGAGAGACGGGCGCGCCCCGCGCGACTCGGCCCGGCGCGATCGCGAGGAAACGGAGCAAAAAGAAAAAAAGTTGCAACTCGCGGGCCGTCGCCGTTCGACTCGCGCGTGCTCTACCGCCGGCGCGGCACCGGCGCGCGAACGCGACGCCCGTATAAACTATTTGCACAATTTTGCGCGCACAGCCGGCCGCGTCGCGCCGGATCCGCGCTCGCGGGGAATCCCGGGTTTCCGAGTATTCCGAAAAATCGGCACGTGTCACAGGACGGGCCGCTTACGCACGTTCGCTCGGCACGCGCGGATCGACCGGGATCGATCCGCTGGATACGATACCTTTCGCACACGTAAAAGCCGCACGCACACACATACACGTACACATGCACGCACAGGTATACAGTTCCTAAGGCACGCTCGGCCGGCAGCGCGAACGGGAATCACAGCTTGCCGAGTGCGAGCGCGTTATCGCGAGGGAACACCTATCGGCCGTCATGCCGCGTAAGCTAATGACCGAAACAATGAACCGAACACGCCGACGACGGGGCGACGCGACGCTGCCCCGCGTGCGTGCGCGCGCGAGTGCGTTGCCTGCGTGTGTGCGTTTATCTCCGGGCGAAGAGAGAAGTGGAGCGTACACTTGACACACGCGACATGAAAGAGAGATCGCCGGCGAGCTGGCGCGGCGGCCGCGCTCGCGTCGAGATCTCGCGGGGGATCGAGTCGTCGCCGCGATCGATCCCGCAGGGGGCGATCCAGAGCGCGATCGAGCGAGTCGCGGTGAGATCGGGTGAACGCGCGAATCCGCCGCGTCCCGCGGTGAAAACGGAGCCGCCGCGAGCGAGCGAGCGAGCGAGGGCGCGAGGATATCGGTAAATACACTTTCCAAATAAATACTAAACGATTTCGTCGTTCCTTCCTTCCTGGCGCGTGGATCATCCTCCTACCCCTCCGCTCCCTCTCATCGCGCGCACCAACCACCACCACCGCCCCCACGCCGTCGCCGCCGCCCGAACTGTCGGCCACACCGAAAGTGATCGCGATCGAACGAGGACGGCGCGGCGCGGCGCGGCGCGCGCGTGAGGCCGACGGAGAGAGAAGGAGATTAGGCGGAGACAGGAGGCGGGACGGGGAGATGAGGAGGATGATCGAGCGGGCAGGATCGAGCGCGCCGCGACTTTCGCGCTCGCCGCGCGCGCGACGCCCGCGTCTCATCCGCGTCGCGGGCGTCCGGGTATTCGCGTATCGCGCGACGACCGTATTTCGTTCAGGTCGCACGCCGCGGTACGCGAGCGAAGACCGGAGGCGAGGAGAGGCCGGAGAACCGGCGCAGCGGCGGCGACAACCACGGCGGCGGTGACGACGACGACGACGGCGGCGGCTACGACGGCGACGGCGACGACGGCGACGGCGACGACGCGCGCGGAATCTTGTGCACCTTGACTGGGGGCGCCGCGAGCGAGCAGTCACCGCAGCAGGCTCCTTCCCCGTCGCATGCCGCGTGCGAGCGAACCCGACCAACCCCTAAAACGTCACGTCACGACTGTGCGACTCCGTCGCGGAGAAGGCGCCGCGCTTCCCCGCCGCGCGCTTCGCCGTCGGGGGCCGGTACTCCGCGAGGCCGCACGAAAATGTACGAAAAGCCGGCGATCGTCGCCGTTACGAGAACGGGCGCGTACTCCGCGCGAGGGGGAGGAAGCGGAGACGCGGAGGAAGGAAGAAGTCACGAGAAGAGGGAGAGGAAGCGCGTCGGCGGGGTGGGAGGGGGGGGGAGGTAGATACGGAGAACGCGGGGAAAGGATAAGCGCAGGGGAGGGAGGGAGGAAGGGAGAGGGAGGGAGGTCGGCGACGACTGAATGACACGCGGGAGGAAGACGGACGGAAGATTTGGCGGAAGGCGAGGAGGGAAGAGAACTTTTTTTTTCCATACTCCGGGGGGGTTACGTCTCTCTAATCGATAATACACGTTTAGAAGACGAGTGGTGCGCGAGCGGGACCGAGGAGCGGAGGAAAGTAAGGAACGAAAAATAGCGCGACGCGCGCGTGTGTGACGGCCGGGTCTCGCGAGGAGCGAAACGTCGACGGGGCGCCGCGTGCGCGATTTCGGACGGGACCGAAACGGCCGGGGCGGTGGAGAGGCGGAACGTAATCCGTTCCTTATGTTCGCGTAATGAATCGCCGCTAGGGTCTGGCGGCTAACGATATGCGCGACCGCGGATTAGAGTGTCGAGGATTGTCATTTCGGCACGTACTTAATTCCGGCCGGTTTTTGGCCGCCGCGGAATCTAGTCCGCGTCCCCGTCGCCGTGAACGAGCAGCCGGGGACGTTTTCGCGTTTATTGCTAGGCCTGACGCGAAATCGTACGTCACTGTCTCGCGAATCTTGTAAGGCACGATGGAAATGTTACTGCGCCGTTCGATAAGATCCTTCTTATTAACGAAGACGGAAATGGAATGGCAGCTATCGGTCGAAGATCGTCAATCGTGTGCCGATCGTCGGACTTGGGAAGTCAAGGGTGATTTAAGGCTCGAAACCGCGCCGACGGATTCCGATTTTTCGCGTTGCGAAAGAATGTATTCAGTTACACGAATAAATACGAAAACTCACCCTCGTCTTAAGGCCTGCGTCCACGACGCTAGAACTTGCAGCTTTTATGGAATAGTCGCAAGTTGCTTGGCTACACATTTCTCGAAACTAGAACCTGGACCAAGTTCCAGCGTCGTGGACACAAGGCTTAAGACCTGCTATTCCATGAAAGCTGCAAGTTGTTTGGCCACACATTTCCCGAAACTAGAACCTGCACCAAGTTCTAGCGTCGTGGACACAAGGCTTAAGGCTTGCCATTTCATAAAAGCTATTCCATAAATTTCCAAAAATTCTCGAAACTAGAACTTGGAGCAAGTTCTAGCGTCGTGGACGCAAGGCTTAAGGCCTGCTATTCCATGAAAGCTGCAAGTTGCTTGGCCACACACTTCTCGAAACTAGAACCTGGACCACGTTCTAGCGTCGTGGACGCAGGCCTTCGGGAGCGCGATTCCGATTTCCACCCCCGAATTACACGCGAGAGCGGTGCAATTTCGATTGATCTCGGCCCGTTCTCCGCGCGAATTTTCACGCGACTTTCGCGACTCGAATGTTCAGGTCCAATTAGCGCGAGAAAACGTATCGCCGCGATTCGTCGTAGGCGGCGATAAGTGACCGGGGGAGGTAAGAATTTGGCGAGCGGGGTGTGAAAAATCGCGGCGCGAACGTAATTGGACGGTGCCGCGCGCGAGCTAAGAAATCCGAACGGGGCCGGCGATCGCCTCCAGTTTCCAGTGATGCATCGGAGTTATCGTTAACGGGGCTACTAACGAGGCCCGAGATTTAGCTCCTGGAGCGACGCGCCCCGCGAGAACGACGCGGTCCCCGCAGTTAATTACCTCGTGGGGGAGGGGAGGGTCTGTCAGAGAGTCGCTCTCACGTGCGTCGCCTTCCCGGTGTCGTCTCTCGCCGATCTCAAACCACCATCCCTCCGACTTCTGGCTCCGTCTGCGGTCTGGCGACGGTCTCTTCCGGTCTTCCCCTTGCCTCCACGCCGGCTGTCACTGTGTGGCACGCGGTCCGCAGTTAAATATCATCGTTCGCCGACGACGCGCGGTACCAATTGACTGAGTTCCCGGCGGTGCCCTCGTTATCGCCGTTCGTCTGAAAACCATCCGTTTCTTTCGCTGCGTGTTCTGCGAGGATCTTACTGCGAGGGAAAGAGAGAGAGAGAGAGAGAGAGAGATGGGGAGGTGGGGAGAAAGAGAGAGAGAGACAGAGTGGCGCGCGTCCGAACCGATTTACCCCCTCATTACTGCCGGTGATGGTTGCACACCGTGCACATGTGCGTACGCATGCATCCACCCTCCCTCTCGCTCGCTCGCTCGCTCGCACGCACGCTCGCGCGCGCGATGCACTCTCAACGTGCGCGCCGACAAATACGCGCCCGCGGATACGCCGCGTTCGCTCTCTCTTTCTCTCTTCCTTCCTCTCAGGCGGGGCACGTACGTGCGCGTACGCACGGACACGCGCGCGCGCCCGACGTACACTCGTATCTCGCACACGTTGCCACGAGCCGCACTCCCGCGATCTCTTCGAGAAGCGGAATCTCATCCGGTTGTCGCGACTCCTATCCCGCGCGAGGAGCGCGCCGGCCGAAAATCTTCGCACTCGCGGCAACAACTCGCGCGAGACTCGGCACGACCGGGAGCGCGATCGACGATGACGAGGAATCCTCTCTTTCTCTCTCTCTCTCTTGCTCCCTTTTCGTCTTCCTTCTTCTTCCGCCCGCCGGCCTCGTTTCGACCGCGAAATACGAAATGAGACCGCGAGACGATAACGACCGACGGGCACCGGTGGACGTCCGTACAGGGATGAACGTACCTAGCACGTGTGCCAGCCACCAATCGGCGAGGGAGAGAGTGCCACGTCCGTCCTTACACCCCGCGAGCGAAACAACGATCCCCGGTACAAGTTCGAGGTCGGATGGAGCACGAGGGCACGATAGGCATAATCACTGTCGCGGCGCCGCACGCGGGGAGCAGCTGTCGATTCGCGACGGCAGTGACCGGCTCGGGAGTTTTTAAAAGCGAGATGAAGCGCGGTGGCAGAATTGAAAACGAAAAAAAGGGGGAATATAAAAGGAACAAAGAGAGAGAGAGAGAAAGAGAGAAAAAGGGCGAGAGAAAGAGAGAG